TATTCCTCATATCCTCTGCCTTCTTCCAACGGAAATCACTCACACATTCGTCATAGGTGGACGAACTCATCAACAAGGCGAACGCCCTATGGGACGAACGAAATGCCAGAGCAGTTGAAGAAGGAGAGCAAGAATACCCTCGTATGCTCCCACTTATTCGTCTCAAGGTCTGTTTGCTCTCTATTTGATCATCTCAAATATATTCAGCAAACCTTCCCCCTCAGGTCGATACCACCGGCGTCAGCGAGATGTCCAATCCCGTCCGTTTTGGCCAGGAATTCCAAGGACGGATCGCCAACCCGCGAGATGTTCTCGTCTTCCATCGCGCCAAACGTTCCACCCGCGGCGCTAACGGCAAGGTGGTCGTTGAGCAACCGGAACTGAGCATAGACGACCCGTCGTTGACTGTGGCGGAAAAGTTGTCGAAGGTGAGGGTGCAGACATTAGTGCAGGAATATCTGGCGGCACAGGAACTGCAGCTGCTAGGCGAGGTGGGCATGTCAGATGCTATTGAGGTGTTTGTGGACAAGGACGATATACATGCCATTCAGAAGTACGTCTTTTCTTTCGTGATTGCCATCTCTGAGACTGATGTCTCACAGCCATGTCGCTCTTTCACTGCGGAGCTTGATGAAAGGTGTTTCGGCGGATGAAACTTTCGAAGGGGAAGACGATCTCGAGGAAATTGTACGCTTTCATCCGTTTTTTTGCGCACGCTTGCGGTTTGCGTGACAAACTTCGTACCCACAGGTTGAGAAAGTCAGAGAAAGACATGAGCGGGAATATATCGAGAAGCAAAGGGGTAGCAAACCAACGAAGGTATATACACACCAAACAACACAACCACGTCGCTGATTCAAACGTCATTCCCTCTCTGAGCAGGCGAAAGGAAAGGCTCGCGCCGAGGCATCAGACAACGAATCCGTGGATTCGATGATGATGGACGTCGACGGCGGCGGTTCGGACTTTGAGGCCCTGGATTCCGACCCTCCTCCTGCGAAGAAGACAACGACAAGAAAAGCTGCTGCGCCGGCGAAGAAAGCTCCTGCGAAAGCGCCTGCTAAAGGGAGAGGGAAGAAAGCGGCGGTATGTGCTTTTCGAGACATCTTTTTTCGGAATTGTGAGATGAGTGTTGACCTGCGTTTGTGAGATTAGCCTCCGTCAGATGACGAAGAGGACGATGAGGAAGAAGAGGAAGAGGCACCCAAACCTACGAAGAGAACGAATCGTGCGGCGACGCTGAGGTCTGTCCTTCCGTACCATCCTTACCCTTTTGACCTGATCTTACCTCTTCTAGTCAAACGACAACTAAGAAAGCTCCAGCTAAAAAGGCACCGGCTGCGAAGCAGAGTACGCTCAGTTTTGCGCCGTCTGGAGGGAGGTCAACGGGCACAAGGGCAGCGGCGACGAGGGCGAAGAAGAAGACAGCAGATGTGGTGCGTTCTAAAGTTTGTTGCCTATGATGCTGGAAGATACTGACGAGTTTATTGGAAGATTGACCTGGATAGTGATTGAAATGGCCTCACTTGTATGATGGGCTCGACGGATATATTTCTTGTTACTCCGCGTTTCAGGGAGGCAGATGAAGGCAGCCTGCTTGAGGTCACTGCTGCGCTAGCAGGTCGAGCCTAGACCAGAGCCTGAGCAAATCTGAGCTTGACTCTGTAAGCGCGGGTCGGATGTCATGTAGTCCTCATAAGGTCACGGTTTTTCGGGACTAAGCATGCACGCTGCAGAAGATGTGGTAACTTGAGGTAGTTCTATCCATCTGACAATTAATGAAGGCAGAGTCACATCGGCATGAAGAGTGGACGTTGAACAACACATGAATACGCACTTAACGCTACCACGACAACACCAATACAACCTAATTCATATGGAAGACTCGGTGACGCGATATTTGATTGCGCAATTGCGCAAGTGGTATCGGGCTGAGACAGATGAATGGTAGTCAATAAGCTTGATAAATACAACACAGACAATTGGACGCACAAGGAGTTTGAGAACGGGTAGGAGTGCTGGGAAAATGCACCACAAGTCAGAGATTCCCTAAGAAAATATGATTGTTAGCGATATAGATATACGCGGGAGACATACCTCTGGGGACTGCATGGAAATTTCAAAAAGGTTTCGGGAACCCGCCTGAGTGCCAACACAGAATTGGCACCGAGACGAATTCCCGAAAGCAACAGCAGCGAACACACCGAAGTGGCGGCTTTTTTGTGTCCGCCGCTGCGGCTTCCAGGGACCCTCTCTTCTCCGTCCACAGGTTATGAGGACGGAGAAGGCTTACTGCTCACTCCCAGCCGCCATCTTGAAGGAGCTTGAAGGGCAACCGGGAGTGTGCGCGGAGTCCAGCGTCAGGTGCTTAGCCACCGGGTCCAAATACCCAGCAAAAAGTGGCGCTATCCCTGGTGACCAAGGCGCAATACCACTCCCAGCGTAAGGTGCCAGTGACCGAAGGATGTTAACGTGTCTCCCCTGGTTCACGCAGTCTAAGGCGCTAACAACCCAGCATTATTTACTTGGCGCCATACCAAGCGCGGCGGGAGTCTTGCCGCCGGGCGAGTCGGTTGAGGAGGTCGGTCGCCTGAAACGTACTCAATCTTACAATCTGAGTAAGGAGTTCTTCAACACTTGCGCCCGAGCCCCATCTCGCTGAGAGCATGAATATGGATGTGAGTTAAGTACGGAAGTCGAGGGAGAGGTAAGGACGCACCAATGGAGTCGGTGAGGATAGCAAACGCGGTCGCATCATTCACAGAAAGTAGCAGAAGAGGTTTTAGGTTTGAAGGTTCGGAGGAAGTAGGGGGGTTTACGGCTCAGAGGGAAGAGGTAGAGGTTTTGGGTGACTCCCACCGGTCGGATTAAGGTGCCTCCACCAAGGATTAGGGTGACTCCCACCGAGGGTCAGAGGAAATGGGGGTTGCGGGTCGGAGGGAAGGTAGAGTTTTTAAGTGGCTCCCACCCAGGATTATGGCTCCCAACACCAAGTGTTAAGGTGCCTTCCACCAAGATTTAACGTGTCATCCACATTTGGTTTAAGGTGCTCCCACCGAGTTTTCTAGGTGACTCCCACCGGTTTAGGTGCCTCCACCCGAGGAATCTTTAAGGTGGCCCCACCACCGAGGATTAGGGTGACTCCCACCGTGCGGGTCAGAGGAAGGGGGGGACGCCGGGTCAGAAGAGGGGGGGTGAGGAGATTTGCACTGTTAGACATGTGGGGCTTATATGGATTTTTGAGACGTGCTCGGTCATGAGGCGGACTCGGAGGGACTGAGTCTTCGGTACGGTTTCTTCGGACAGAATCCAAGCAAGTGCTGAATAGATTGCCCCAACGTCGTCAAAAAGGAACGCTTCGCTGGTCCAGACGCTGTTCTAGAGGCTGGTTTTGATGTGTTTCAGCTTTGATCGACAAACAAGTTCTTGCAAAATCCAGCATCAATCACCTTCACTTCGTTGCACTCGATAAATTAGCCCATGGTTAATTTATCTGGAGAACAGAGAAGGGAAAGGAAGGCTCAGCAATGTCAAAGCCGGCCGACACGAGGGACAAGACAAGACTCACGCATCACTGGTTTGGACGTTCCCGCGAACTCACTTGGCATAATCCCCCTTCCCTCTCCCTCCCTCCCAATTGATCACGGCCAACTCGGACGCGTTTTCTGCGGTCAAACTCCCCGCCAAACATGGTATACGCCATCCTGAGGGAGCAGAACGGTCTGAAGATGCTGTGAGCGAGGAGGAGGGAGAGCATGGTGTTGTGTCCTAAAATGGCAAGTGAAGTTGAACATGAACGCCACACGGACGCGCTGCACTTCGTCTTCTCCAGGCACCTTCTTTGCGCACACGAAAAGAACGACGAGGCATTAATTTTCGGAAGTTCGTGCGTGGGAACCACATGAGTGTGAGCCGCGGGGTTCTTGGAACTTGTGATTGAGCCTGGGGTTGTAAGAGAGCTGGGATCGGGCCACCCATCTCAACGCTCCCTTTGACAGATCCGACGCGACTTTTGCCCCCTAAAGCACTCATAGTCCATACCAGGCGTAGAACGACTGTGATAGTGCGCCGAAAACGCGCTATGGCGGGGAGGGGAGGGCGGGAAGTGACCTATGTCCAAATGCGGCACCGATCGAAATGAAGTTGAACTTCGCGCGGACTTCACTCGCGTCGTCGCTGCTGTGCCTTCGTCTTCTTCCCATTCTCTTCTCTTTAAGCTGCAATGAGCGTGATAAGAAGTCTCGGAAGGAGTACGTGGGAAAGGGACACATGGAGGCGACGGAGAAGCCGTGTCGGTCGGATGGTGACGAGGGAGGCGGAAAATCGGGTGCTCACTAGTCTAGCGACGCCACCTGCGAAGTTTTGCACCTGGAATCTACGTAGAGAGAGTGCTCTGGATATGTTACGCACCATAATCCTTTCAGTTGTCGCGGACTTTTGATAAAAGCCGCCAGTAGCTGCTCAAGCGTGCGGTTGAAATGACCGAAGAATTACTCAGAAGCCAGTAGGTTCTTCGGTTGGATGGAGGATGGGTTCTCTTCTTTGCATCATGAAGCAATCAAGAGCCTCCAGAGGCCCGAAGAACGAGATCAAGGGCAACTTGAACCTGTCTGGTCCCCGAAATGGACCCCGTCGCCGTGAGTTGGAGGTATTTGATCTGAATGAGTGGGATATGGAAGGTCCGTCTTATGTGGACACAGCGTGAGTCTGTGCAAGGTACTGGTCATAAATACGCATATGGTTGCAACGAGAGCTGGAATATCAATGTCAATAACCGTCAAATCAGCACTTCAGGTCAATTCAGTGGAGGCTTACATAGGGTCCACGTATCCCAGGTGACACAATCACCGTAGTCAAGTATACAAACAGGAGTGTCCGTTAATATCTCGTTCTGGATACCATCTGAGAGGCACAGCGAACGAATGTGGTGAATTTAAAGGAACCACGTGATTTAAAACCAAATTATGCTCATGTATTCTTACTATTACCTTCGAGTTGTCGGTTCAATGGTGTAGTTGGTTATCACGTTCGTCTCACAGCCGCTGGGTTGTTAGCAGTCCTTCGGGATCACGAGAGGTCTTCGGTTCGAGTCCGGATTGAACCACTTTTTGGACTATTTTTGGCCGTTACGGACAGCAATAAATGAAGGGCGCTACGGATGGATGCCAAGCGAGGATTAATCTTTGACTCTCTCCACATCCCATTCGCCAACGTGCGTTGCTCAACGTTGTCCAGTTCGTCCTACATCTTCTCGTTTCTTTCTCTTGTCCACCGCCCCGTTGCTCTTGACGCTGCTCACGTCGTCGCGGTCCCATCCTACACTCTTCTCTTCCAATGGCCACTGCAACTGACAAGGACCGCACCGACGCCGTCGAAGATGAGGTGACAGAGCAAGCAGTCTCTGTCCCAGATGTTGGCGACACTGGCGAGAGTGGCAAGCTCAAGATGATCGTCCAGCTCGTTAAGAAGTGTCTCGGGGTCAAGGACATTGCTTCAATGTGCGTTCCGTCTCCGCTGTCTGTCGCATTGACCCTGATATCCCGTCTCCGTCCGCAATAAGGCGTCTTTCGCTGCCGGCGTCATTGCTCGAACCCATCCCGAACCTGGAGTATTGGCATTATCTTGACAGGCCTGATCTTTTCGCTGCGTGAGTGCTGTATCGATATCGCGTCACTGTGACGAAGCTTAATGATTTGCCCTCAGTATCAATGATTCCGACGATCCCTTCGAACGTATGCTGGCAGTGCTTCGATTCACATTCTCCAAGGATCTCAAGTTCATTGTGCGTTTGCTCGTTCTCAATAAATTCGCTTTACCTGACACGATGCATTGCAGCGAGGCAAGATCTGCAAGCCGTACAACTCGGTCCTGGGCGAGCACTTCCGCTCTCACTGGGATGTGATACCCGTGAGCTACCCTTCAGACCCAACGCAGCCACCCGTACAGCACCTATACCTTTCGGAAGCCGCCGAGTTGTCCAGCATGTCAATCCTCTCTGCCACCTCCAACCGACTCCCCGCTTCCGAAACCGCTAGCTTCAGGAGCAGCAAGAGCACGCTAAGCGTCCTTAGCTCAGCATCCAAGGGCGCATCTTCATTCCCCAGCACTCCTGGCAAGAGCACGCCTGCGACCACCCCAGATCTGCCCGACTTGGATGCCCGATTGTCCAATCTCAACCTGGCCAATCCAAATGCATCGAACTCTGGCTCACTGCTTGAAGGTGGTGATGTACCTACTCTCGGTGACAGACCTCGTATCCGGATTGCCTACATCACCGAGCAAGTCTCGCACCATCCGCCAGTATCTGCGTTCACGGCTTATTGCCCCAGTCGCCACGTCGAGCTCTCCGGAGTGGACCAGATCTCCGCCAAAGTATCTGGCACGACTCTTCGCGTTGTGCCCGGCAGCTACAACAAAGGCTTCTTCCTGAAGATTAATGGTGGTCCTGGAAAAGGCGAGATGTACCAAGTCACTCATCCCACGGCATCTGTAAACGGCTTGCTTCGGGGAAGCTTCTACATCACTGTCTCGGACTCGGTCATCGTCACATGCACGGGAGCCAACGGCCAGCACCTCCGCGCCATCATCGAGTACAAGGAAGAGTCCTGGTTGGGACGCGCCCATTTCCTCTGCGAGGGTGTCATTCACACGTATACACCGGGAGAGACGGCACATGAGGAATGGACGAAGGTCAAACACGTCCCTAGGTCGAGGGTCCTTGCGGTCTTTGACGGGTCATGGAAGCAAGTCATTCGCTGGAAGAAGGTCGATGCACCTGACTCTGAATACGCTACTCTCATCGACGTTTCAACGCTCCACGTGATCCCGAAGGTCGTTAGGGATCTGGAGAAGCAATTGCCAACAGAGAGCAGAAAGCTGTGGGATGGTGTCACGTCGCGACTCCTGGCTAAGGAGTATTCCGAAGCGACAAAGCACAAGTTGGCCATCGAGCAGAAGCAGAGAGATGATGCGGCGTTGAGGAAAGCGAAGGGTCAGAAGTAAGTCCATACAACCTCTTCATCATGCGCTCGTACTGAGCAAACGCTATTCCAGATTTGTCCCAGTATATTTTGAAAGTGATATCGAGACCGGTATACCTACACTGACAGAAGCGGGTCGTAAGGCCTTAGAAGACGAGCTGAAGGAGGAGGGCGAATACCCATTAGAGGAGTCAGCCCCTGTGACTCCCGTCGCGTCCGAGCCATAGGCTTGTCTGCGACCCACCGTATCACTTATCTTCCATTCCAGCTATAACCGCGTTTACGATCTAACGACACCGGACAATATCGCTTTCTGAAAGAAGAAGCTTTCACGTACTCATTGTACTAGTTAATTATTTTGATTCCCCCCATGCACCTTTCGTTCCTTCCTTCTGTTCACCTCCCTGATTCTTTGTGCATGGTCTGTTACGCTTTGGAGATGACACATGTACGAAGTATATAGCTGCCTTTGACAATAATCGCATCGAATCTTAAGCAATATCTGAGTACTGAGTCGTCACTGTCAGGTTCAATCCTTGTGGGTGAATCATGCATACGCCCCGCGCGCCTATATCGTAGTAACTCTTCCAATCAACCTGACCAGCGAATTATCGCGATCCTCTCGCAACTGCAATACGACGCCCCAATAACTGAGGGCTTTGAGCTACTCCACGTAGCCGTGCTGCTGAAGGATTCCCACAATGAGGAAAGTGGGTACTTGAAGTATTGTATGGGTCAGTCCAAGATGACATCCTGCATCGACAAATACTCACCTGATCGTCGTTTTCAAGCTATACTACTATATTCAGTGGAATATATACGACTATTATGTCGATCGTCACATTCTATGTCGTTGGCCTGACTATCTAACACACGTGGACATCGGCTCATGTGGCTCTTGCCAGGAGTCGACGTCGCCAGCTTGGGGACTTTGTGTGACTCCAATATGCGTGTCTGAAGCGTGCTCGGGGCTATGCGTAAACGCATAGACTACCTAATTAAGTCCAGGCGAGATTAGTACGCTCTATCCAGGTGAGCACCTCATTTCCCGCCTCCCGCCCCCGCCCCCTTCAGCGTCGTCCGACCGACACGGCCCCCCATCGTCTCCATGTGTCCCTTTCCCACGCACTCCTTCCGAGACTTCTTATCACGCTCATTGCAGCTTAAAGAGAATAGAATGGGAAGAAGACGAAGGCACAGCAGCGACGACGCGTCGTGAAGTCCGCGCGAAGTTCAACTTCATTTCGATCGGTGCCGCATTCGGACATCGGTCACTTCCCGCCCTCCCCTCTCACCATGGCGCGTTTTCGAGGCACTACCACACTCTTTCTGCACTTGTTATGGACTAAGGGTACTTTTGGGGGGAAAAGTCGCGTCGCACAGGTAGAAGGAACGTACAGAAGAGCGTTGAGATGCGAGGCCCAGTTTCAACTCACTTCCAACCCCAGGCTCAAGCCCAAGTTGTAAGAACCCCGCGGCTCACATTCATGTGGTTCCCACGCATGAACTTCCGAAAATTAATGCCTCGTTGTTCTTTTCGCGTGCGCTGAGAAGGTGCCTGGAGAAGACGAAGTGCAGCGCGTCCGTGTGGCGTTCATGTTCAACTTCACTTGCCATTTTAGGACACAACACCATGCTCTCCCTCCTCACACACAGCATCTTCAAACCGTTCTGCTCCCTCAGGATGGCGTATACTATGTTTGGCGGGGGGTTTGACCGCAGAAAACGCGTCAGCCGAGGTTAATTGGGGGGGGGGGAGAGGAAGGGGGATTGTGTCAGTTGGATTTGGGGGATTGCAACCGTCGATGGATGCGTGAGTCTTGTTCTGTCCATCGTGTTGGCCGTCCTTGACATTGCTTAGCCTTCCTTTTTCTTTTCTGTTCTCCAGATAAATTAACCATGGGCCAATTTATCGAGTGCGACGAAGTGAAGGTGATTGATGCTGGATTTTGCAAGAACTTGTTTGTCGATCAAAGCTGAAACACATCCAAACCAGCCTCTAGAACAGCGTCTGGACCAGCGGACCTTCCCTTTTGACGACGTTCGGGCAACCTATTCAGCACTTGCTTGAATTCTGTTCGAAGAATCCGTACCGAAGACTCGGTCTCCTCGGGTCAGCCTCACGGCTGGAGAGGTTTCAAGAATGTATATAAGACCCCATGTCTGACAGCTCAAGTCTCCTCACCCCCCTCCTCTGAACCGCACTTCCCCCCCTTCCTCTGAACCTTCCCCCCTCCTCTTCTGACCCGCATTTCCCCCCCTTCCTCTGAACCGCATGGTGTGAGTCACCTTAATCCTCGGTGGTGGGGCCACCTTAAAGATTCCTCGGGTGGAGGCACCTAAACCGGTGGGAGTCACCTAGAAAACTCGGTGGGCGCACCTTAAACCAAATGTGGATGACACGTTAAATCTTGGTGGAAGGCACCTTAACACTTGGTGTTGGGAGCCATAATCCTGGGTGGGAGTCACTTAAAACCTCTACCTTTCCTCAGATCCGCAACCTCCCTACCTACAGAACCTCGGTGTTGAGTCACCTTAAAAACTTGGTGGGGGCACACACCTAAAACAGACCGGTGGTCAGCACCTTAAACTGGGCTCCGGCACCAGTCGTGATTCACGCATTGGGGATCCTCCACTACGGTGGGTGGCCCTCAATGTGAGGGTCGTATAGCGGCTGGCGCAGCAATCCTTCCGCCTATGGGTTGGAGCGGGTCCCCGGGAGCAGCGGTTGTGCATCACATATGCCATACCAAGGTGGATGTACACCCGCTGCTTGCGGAAATTCGTCTGAATACCAATTCTGTGTTGGTATTCAGGCGGGTCTCCGCAATCATAGTTCATGTTTTTTTTTAATCCTTTCTTCAAGTTGGAATAGGTACGCCATTTAATCTTCGTCCCTTGGAGAGCTACTGATCAATGCGCTTTTCTACTCGTAAGGTATCAACGATGACATGATCTCTATTGTCTGCGCATGCTAGGGTACGTGTCTCCTCAACTCCACCAAATCCCGTCGGACTGACTGTGCTGTACGCATCATCATACAGTTCTCAATCAAGGGGTGCATTTACTTACACTGACCTTCGGGTTTCGTAAACCAAAATGTACGTGCCATTTGACCGACAGG